TCTGACATTTATCCTAACGATATGAGGCGGTCTTTGTGGAAAAAAAGCTTGTTTAGTGGACTAACTTTGCACTTGAAGGTTGCCCGTTCACTTACGTTTTAACAGGTCTGACGCTACTATGCGCCCCGGCTGTATCTAGGCTAACGGCTAACATGCTTACTATTATTTTTATGTCACTAGTCACTTGAAACTAATTTAGTACGATAGGAGACAGGTTGAAATAAACTGAAATTTCCCTTTAACAACATAAAATATAATCGTCACCAGCGCTCAATGCATCTTGGGATAGGGTGGGCCATGAAGGATTAATCCATCGCATCCTCCAAATTCTGGGAAAGAAGGCTGAAGGAGCCTTTGAAACGCGACAACCTTGGTTGCGCAGATGTGATGCAATCGGTCTTCAAATGCAGGTGACTGTGGAGTCATGATATCTTGTTGTGACTTGGCTGACAGACATGACAGACTACACGTCAATCCACAACCAATCATCGCTGGTCATCTTTCACGCTGTGTGTGATGTCATCGGGTTATTTTTGCCCTATATTTATTATTATAGCCATTATTTCAGTCACTGTGTCTGTTCATGTCCCAGCTGAACTGTTACTGTGGTAACATAAAAAGTGTCACCAGATGGGCGGAGCTACAACTGAAGTACCACATTAAAACTATGACAGTCACTGAATCCTCCACAGGAAGTTCCTGCAAATGTTTCACAATAAAAGCCTGTTTAGAAAGTGAAGGGATTCTCTCAAATTAAATGATCAGGGGCTTTTAATTTGAAACTGATACAGGAAGTGTTGAGTTTGAAATGACGGTGCGATGCATTAAATTTAACAGGACAAACAGGAGCGGACCAGACACTATCTGTGGGTTTGATTCCTTTATATCCTCCATTATGAAGAAAGAGCATTGTTTGCTAGCTTGATGCTAATGGCAGTACTCAGCGGGTTGATAAAGTGCCTCTGCTGTTTCCTTTTTACTCTGTGTGCTAACGTCCCTACAGGAAATATCTGAAAGGCTGGGCTGTTGTTGTTGTACAGTTTCCACGGCAACAGATCGCTCTGTGTTCCTATTGGTCAAAGTGACGGCTGTGACGGGAGAAGTCGTGAGAGACAAAAAGAAAATCAAACATGTTAGACTTTCTGTCCGGACGTCATGAGGTGGCGTTAGTTGTCTTCTGCTATGACACATTACACGAGATAAAATGATGGATTTTCCTGTACGACGCTCGTTGTCATTTACCATCCGAGCCGAAACCCGCGTGAGATGGCGACACCTGAGCAGTGTCACTGTAAATAACTGCAGTTTCTCTCACCAGCGGTCTTGTCCAGGAAGTAAGCCAGCAGACATCTCATGACGGCCTGGTGACAGATGACCAGGACGTTCTCCTGCCTCTCCAGCTCCATGATGACTGGCTCCAGACGCTGGACAAGGTCCTCGTACGACTGGTGGACAGACGTGCACACAGAGACGTGATAAAGTGTCCACACAAGTACAACTCGACTGTGGTTCCAATTTACACACAAACTGTATTTGAAAAAACACTGTAGAATGGTCATACTTTGAGCAGTCTTCTTCAAATTTGAAACAAATGTTCATTGATAGTGTGCCTACAGCCCCACAGTGTCATTTACCTGCTCAGATGAAGCCACAGACAGTTATTCATCCTGAAACACGTTTTTTATTTTATCTTAGGCAAAATCTTCTATTTTTTACTGACTTCAGAGGCCCATTACTCTGTCTCTGTATCACCTAGAGTGTTTCTGACACTTTCGCAAGAAACTTCAGGGAGTTTTCTTTCTGGCAAGACCTCATGCATGCATGTAGTCAGAGCGGTTCAGACGCTACAGTCATTTTAATTTGGGTATGTCATTTTAGGCGTTTGGGTGGAGTACCACAAAAAGATACAAAACATGTATATTTGACATCAGTTAAATCATTTATCTCTTCATGAGATACTATCATCAATATGATGTGGCTCATTCGTAGTCTTCAGATTCTGTGCTCCAACATTTTATCTTATCACGAAGGAAGTGATGAGTGCTTCATGGGTTTGTGCAGTGCACTGATGTTCATGGTGATGACTGTTTTATCATCACGACATTCAATGAAGTCTGAGTTCAGTTCTAACTTTGACTATAGAGACGCTGCCTCCTCTCTCCACATCTTTACAGTCTAAACACACAAACATAAAAATACTGAGAAATGAAATAAGGAAAAAAGGCTTATATTTTTTTACACTCTCCTTCCTCACCTCTCCTTTCGGGTAGCGGTAGCGATACTTGTCTTGGTCTCTCAGTGCAAACTCCTCTGGGTAGTTCTGCTGAATCTCTTCGTATGTCATTTCCTCACAAACCCCCTGAGGCAGCGAATACAGAAAATAAATCACACAACTGTCACCCTCAAACACACACACACACACACACACACACACAACCAGGGAAACAGTTTCTAAATAGTACACAGAACTACACAAACTATGTAGAGAACATGTTGTAGAACATCTTAGTTTAGTCACGTGTTTTTGACGTGTCCGTCGTTCAGCATGAATACACTATAAACACACACACACACACACACACACACACACACACACGTATTCTCAGCACTCACAGCGTCGATCTCATTGAGGGCCTTCCACTGTTCATACGGGACTCCCAGAGCCTCGGCAGTCTGGATGGTCCTCTTCATGTGGCTCGTCCATACCTTCAGGTCAGTGATACACTGCCCACGCATGTACGTCCCCAGAGCACTGGCAAACTGACGGACACATGCACACAGAAGACATGAGCACAGAAACAGGATGTGATATATAAAGTCCACACACACACTGACCACACACTCCTAACCTTTGCACCACGAGACGACAGCCCGGAGTCGCCTCCGATGCGGCCCACGAGGTTGAGGTCGCTCTCTCCGTGGCGACACAGGTAGATGGACCTGGGGGTGACGTGGATGTTCATGAGGTAGTAGACTATCCTGCTCTGAATGTGGTCCTGGACCCGGTTCACCAGGTACCTGCTGCCCACGTTGAAGATCTTGATGTAGGACAAGTTCCTGTGTAGGGACGAGAAGAGTAGGAACTATTTTCAGCAGCGGTTTAATTCACATGTGGTGCTTTGGATATACGCACACAAATAGTGATCTGTAGGATCAGTAGGGCTGCAACGGTATGAGATTTTCACAGTTTGATTAATGTCTCAGAAAATTATTATTATTAAGTTTAAAAATGACACATTTGATTGATGGAACACAAAATTCAGTCAGATGTCAGACCTGCACATCATTACTTCACATAGAGGACACACTGAATGTAAACCATGAGGTGAGAATCACCCAGGGAGGATGTTAATAGGAACACTGGGCTGGTGTCTCGTTGTAGATGCTCTCACCTGTCCTTGTTGTCATCCAGCGGGACGTAGTTCAACTTGTAACATTCGATCCTCTTCAGGAAGTCGGCCACAGCCTCCTCTTTGTCACAGCCTACATAGTCTGGACTGCTCAGCTTCACTTCCTATTTTTAGAGAGAGAGTTTGAAGGTCTGAGTGAGACAAAAAAACAGTGAACGTCCTCATCTTGTGACCAACATCACAGGCTTTTAGCAAACACAGCGGGACTCATGCAAGGTCATGTCAGGTTCAGACATATGATGCTGCATGTTGGATTCAACAAACCTTCTAAGCTGCTCACATTTAATGCACATTGCTGTTTTCAAATTCATTTGTACTTAAATACAGAAGTAATCCCTCTCAGTCATCACTTATTTATTTGACAGGGACAAACGCACAAGACATTGCTTCATGTGTAAAATACAAAGTAGATCCAACATATTCAGATTCTAGCTGTGGTGAACTTGCAGCCCGTCTCTGGTTAGCCTCTTAGAGTGAAAACAGTGAGTGTAAGATTACTGAGCATGGAGTAATTTGATACAGTAATGTAACACAATGACTCTGAGTGTGTGGTGGTGTATTTATCTGCAGAGACTCTGCACTCTGTCTGGATTTTATTAGTGTTCTTATTTTGCTGTGTTCAGGCAGCAGTTTGTAGCCTCGAGCCAACAACAGCACACAGGTCAGGTCAGGAATTTAAAAGGGAGCGACCAGCTTCCAGACCGTAAAACAGACGCTCTAAAAATCACAAGCACAGCGCCTAAAGAGTACCCTGGAAATCCAGAGTTCTTGCGAGAGCACAATTTGAATTTGCTCAGCGAGTCACTCTGGCAATCAGTAATGATGCTCATTACCCATGCCGTTGGAGCCGAGCTGCACCAATCACATTGGTGTATCTGATATAGGCGGGCCAGAGGCGAGCTAAACAGATGATGACAACGCAGCGACGACGAAGTCCGGAATCAGTCAGTAAACATTGCAAGATGGCTACGGATGAACACCAGTTGTTTGAAACGGCTTTGGCCGCTACAATGAACGAGTTAGACTTGGCTTTTTCTCTAAAAGAGGAACAGAAGACGGCGCTCGAATCTTTCCTTTGCAAGAATGATGTTTTTGCTGTTTTGCCGACCGGATACGGCAAGAGTCTAATCTACCAGTTAGCTCCACTGGTAGCTAAGCTCTGGATACGTCACCCCGTGTGTTGTTCTGATTGGTCGCAGTGTTATCCAGTTGCGTGCAGTGATATTTACAAATGCATGCTTGGTGCCGCCCCTCGAGTTGGGCCATTTGCATTTCTCATGGCCAGACCCTAAATCTTTCTAGATTTGGGTCTGGATTTCCAGGCTACCTAAAGAACGCAAATATAGCAGAATGCCAAGCGGACAGTTTTGTTACATGTTGCAGGCATCAAATTCAGAACGAGTATAAGTAGAATTAACAGGATATCTCTTCATTATTTTATGCTGTTACATGTGTGAAATTTTGTCATAATTAGTGTGAATTCCTGAGTCATGTCCAAAAACATGTTTTGTGAGGTCACAGTGAGCTTTGACCTTTGACAACCAAAAACTGAATCAGTTCTAATCAGTGGATGTTTGTGCCAAATTTGAAGAAATTCTCTCAAGGCGCTCTTGAGAATGGGATGTACATATGAACACCTTGAAAAAGCAATGCCTCCAGCCGTGGATAGTGTTGGATAAGTTTATGAGTTTAACATTAAATATCTTGTTTTGTTATTTACACAGCAGCTCAAGAATCGAGGTTGTAGTAGCAGCACACATCTAAGAGGAAGCCACAAAAATCTCAGAGACAGTACAGACCAAACGCAGATACAGCGAGGCAAAAGGCCGAGCAGTCAAAGGTCATTTCTGGAGACCACTGAAGGAGAGGACGGGGACGAAGAGCAACATGGAGTTATCCTGTTTTCTGTTGGACAGGTTGGTGCCCGCAGTTAGCTTATTTAGCTTGCTAAAAGCATCAGTTTTTCCATTACAAGAAATGTAACATTCCTGTAGTAGTACTGTCGCTTGCTGCGTACGTTAGTGCTCTGATCTGGCACAGAAAAGTGGGCCTGATCCAACATGAACCAACATAGTTTTTGTCTGACCCGAGCCAGACCCATGGCAGCAGCTTTGGGCCTGAGCCCGATTAAAGACTTTCTACAGTAAAAGGAAAAAAATATATTTTTAGAATATTATAACATTTATTACAAGCTAAGGGCTGACATGTTCCCTCGCATATCCTTCTTCTCTTTCTTATTTCAATAGTCTCTTGTTGGCTCTGTGACTCATGCACAACAGGTTTGGCAGAAGCAAACATGTCACCTGGCAGCGCCTCTCCTCTGGCTCTCTCTCCTTCTCTTCTGGTTCTCCACTATATTGCACCATTGTTCTGTCACTTTCCCGCTCTCAGTTGCCATCCTCTCAGTTGCCCTCCTCTCAGTTGCCCTCCTCTCAGTTGCCCTCCCTGCTCCTAACACTTCACCCTCGGAACTCTTCTAAGGTCTAAGATGCTCTGTGAATAACTTTTATCTTTACTAACAACCAGTCTTAACTTTAAGGGGAAATTCTAAGTAAATGCCACAAATGTCTGTAGGAGCTCGAGCACTCTTGGAACTCTCAGCACTAGAAAGTTTTGTGAGTACAGCCCCAGATCTCTAGTGTACGTACGAGAGGTGTAGAGAGGAGGGGCCAAGTCTGACTGTTGTCTTAACAAACAGTGCAGAGTTTACCTTCAATAACAAACCTGTTCATATAGGAGCTGCTAGCATGACATCCTTCATCTTTAAAAATAAAATAAAAATTAAAATCATTTTGAGGCTAAATGAGGAAATCAGGGAGGAGTTGTTTAAAGTACATTATTGTTGCGTGGATGCAGACATCATTATTGTGTTTATAGAACAGCATTTTTCTTACCCAGAGAGCAACAACGGTCTCCAGAGTAACTCCAGTCAGCAGGGTGTTTAAATGTGTTCGGAGTCAACAGAGCTTTAATAAAATGATGATGTCAGCTGCCCAGTGAGGGTCGGGAGCTGTGTGGTAATAAAGTTAAGAAAGACTTCCTGTTGTTTTTAACTCTGAGAGCAGGAGGAGACTGAACAGAGGTGTGAAAGTTAAGATGATGTCTTTCTTTCATCTGTAATTGTCTCAGGAATTGAACACTGATAGACACCATCACACAGCTGCTGTCATTAACTGCTACTGGTGTTGATTTTAGACATTAAATGCTGTTTTCAAAATCAGACGGCTCAGTGAGGATGAAGACTGGAGGAAAATAACGCAAGCTGGAAACACTTATTTTTCAGAGCAGCACTTTTTTTTAGGTATTAAATGAGTCATGTGACCGACGTGTACGCATAGACAATGTAACTGAGCTAAACTGCGCTCAGCGAGATGATTTGAACAAAACTGGGATGAAAACAGGGAAAAAAGAGGAAGAGAAAGTAAAATATTAATGACAGCAGGAGAACTGTTCTCCATATGTGCAAACTATCTCGTTTTGGAACAAAAGCCACAACGATATCTTGCCAACACGCACGTGACCTGGCAGAGTGTGACTGCTGCAATGGCTCGGTCTCCTCCACCAATAACAAATCAGAAACACATTGGGCCTCGGCTCCAACAGCTCTTGGCTCAGCACATGACTCACAGTGATCTTGGAACCACAACTTCCTGTTCTCACACACACACACGCACAGACACACACACACAAAACTTACTTTAATATTCGCAGCGATGATCTCTGGATCATCACATATCGACTCCACAAAGAAAACCTGAACAGGCAGGAAAAGAAAAGCGAGAAATTGCAGTTTTCATTTTTCAGATTTCCCTTTCTAACAGAGCAACAAACAAACAAACAAACAAACCTTGTACCCATTTTCCTTGGCAAAGTTGAGGATGACCTCTCTGCGCTCCGTTGTGGTGTTGGTGGCATCAAAAACCTGAAAGACAAATAAGATGAGTGACTGATTCTTACTGGACTAATAAATAAATGTTGGTGCTTTTAGGGTCCAAATGTGATGAAATAAAGCTTGTTTATCAAAAGGAATACTTGACTCCCCATATGACCATTTGTGTGTGTTACACTAAATTCGGGAAGAAAACGTTTTTGTCACACGCCTCTACAGCGGACGAAATAACCAAAAACTGAAAAAATATGAATGAAATTGACTTTAACAGAGACCGCAAACTACAGCAAAACTACATCAAAACATCTGTTTACAAACTCACACACAAATCTCATGTATTCAGTCGTATGATCAGCACTTCACAAACACAAGCATTTACAATAAAACACTACAATTGAAAACACTTCAGGTGTGCTACTCATATGCAGACATCTTCTATATGATAACCCTGTAATAAAAAAAAAATCCAAATATGTCAATTAATATTAATATTTAAATAATATCCAAGCAACCAGGCAGCAGATACTGTGACAGGACTGTGTCGAAGAATTCAAAAAGGTGAACACTCTGCATGAACTGAAGTAAACACAGTCTACATTTAACAACAGCAAAACTACATGAATTTTTTTTCAGTGAATTTTCAAAACTTTTTCATAATATTTTACTCAATTTCCATGACTTTATTTCAGTCGTTTGAAAGAAGTAAGCAGATTATTGGATGCAGCGATGGATTTGTTAAGCCCTGGATGAAGTTGTCTTGCAGCTATCCACTTTATTCCTATCCCCCATGATACCTTGCGTGAATTATGGTGCAACTTCCTGAACTGAAACTAGCGATTTCCAATGCAAACAGTTTGTTTACAGTACTCTACTGTTACAGCTCAAACTGGATTATGTGATCATACCTCTGTCACCTCTGACAGCCATCTCAAAGCATTGTTATTTTTTTCTTTTTAACTGAGCACGCTAGCAATTAGCTCGCCTTGCTCCGTTAAAATACTGTTAACTTTAACATGGTCCGAGCTAGCTTAGCGTAAACATCTGCTCCTTCTAAAGATGATTTCTGATGACTTACTAAGAGATACTAACACATAATTTAGTATTAACTGTAGCTCCATGTAAAGTGAATAAATGTGACGTTTCCCAGCTTATCCTCCGCTCGCCTGTGCTAATGACGCATTTACACATTTTTTTAACCTCTGATTTATTAAAAACTGTTCTGAACGAAACATGAAGCTGAATTTAGCAGCAGACTTCAGTCATAGTAATATAAAGTAGGAGTAAAAGAAATAACTTTTGGCATTCATTTTTTTATATGATATAAAGGAAGTGCGGTAAATCAGTGACACATTCTCAGCCCTATTGACTAAATACATATTCCAAGGTATGTTGCCGAGTTTATTTCATCATGAGCAATTTTCTAATGTAGGTCGTGAATTAAGTCAGACAGGGATATCATGTACTTTCGCTGAGCGACGGACCTGTCAGTCTGTGTCTGATTTAATACTTGCTATGTCTGGTGAAACTCTTGTGGTTTTATTCCTCATATCAATTATCATCCTTTTGTTCTGGTTACATGTTCAACACAGTTGCTGAAGACAAAATGTAGCTCAGACTGGTTGTTAGTTGTTACAGTCGCGGACAGTGCAACAGGTACCAGAGCTCGACAAAGGCATTTTAGAAAATGCTAAGTTAAGATTAGTTAAATATTTGTTAAGAAATAAATCAGTATTTGCTAAACTGAAGGCAAATTACTTTAGAAAAGAACCAGCAACCAAGAGTAGCCACTGGGACTAACCACAGACAGTCTATGGGACTAACTAGCTTACTGCTACTTCCATTATCTCACAGGAAGTTATGTGGAATAAGGTGGATAGGCTACATATGCTTGCCCTGGTGGTAGAAGTACTAACGTTATCTTGCCTGGCTACTGGCTGTTTAAGCCATTATTAAACACGCCCAGGTATTTGAGCAAAAGCAAACTGCTAGCGCTTCCACATTTTTATTGCTCATTGACATTCCTGCCACAGACTCGCCCAATGTGTATCATGTGATACTAGTGACGTTTCAACAGTCATGCAGCGCAGTACTACGTTTTAAATCAGTATTTCGTCTATCATTAAACATGTTTTGGGATTTTCATGAATATATTTTAACTAGAGATGTACCGATACCACTTCTTCCTTCCCGATACCGATTCCGATCCCTGAATCTTAGGTATCTGCCGATATTGAGTACTGATCCGAAACCAGCTCGTAAAATAAAAATGGATGGGCTATGAATTGTTGTATGTCTCAACTCCTAAAACTCTGTGTAAAATATTAAGAAATAAAATACATAATAGTAGAATGAATGCCATAAAAAATATATATATATATTATTATTATCCAGTGTTGACACAGATCAAGACACAGGTTAAAGTGCAGCCACTTTGGTAAAAAAGACATTTTAAAGGCTACAGTAGAATGCTTTTTAAACTCCGCTCCGTTTCCGTTTCATTTGCCTGTAGCGTGCTTATGCGTAATGACATGAGGTATTACGTGGTATTGGATTGGTCATAGGCTGTACTCGCCGATACCGCAGCCAAAACAATGTTTTGTCAATGTTCAAAACTTTCCCAAAACACTCTGTTCCAAACCATTTCAAGGCCTGAAACACAGTTTTTCTAATTCCATAACTTTTCCAGAAATTTCCTGAACATGGGAGCCCTGACTGAGTTTGTTCCAGTTATTAGTCAAACCCCATGTAATTCCTTGGAAACAGAGACAACAGCCACAGTCTTTTTTTGAGAGTAAATTGCCCCTCAACATGAAGACATTTTGATTATATATTTTATTTTGTTGGTAATAGTATAATCACAATACTACACTCAAGGCTGTGCTTTAACTTCAGTGATGCAGTCAGGACTGAGGCGCTTGTACGGTCGTGCCACAAATGACATTAAAGCACACCCTCGAGTGTAATGTTGTTTAAGTATATTTTTTTAGAATTTTTTTTTGCCTTTTGCCTTTATTTGACAGGACAGATGAAGTGTGAAGGGGGGAGTGAGACGATGACATCACGCAAAGGGCCGTGGGCTGGAGCTAAACGCACAGCCGCTGCGGCAAGGACTTGGCCTTTGGGCAGGGGACACCTGCTCTAACCACAGAGCCACTGGGCCCCCTAACTTTTTATTATTACTCGTATAACAACAGAGAAATAAATGATCAAAGCCATCTCCAGAGATTACATTCAGTAATTATCTTTCTCTGTATATTTTCATTGTGACAAAATCTGTCAATCCCATGTCAAATTTAACCCGACCTCCAACACGAGAAGCTGCTGACGATGCAGCATGAAATCCAGCACAATAATATTATTGATATCAGACTCACTGTTCCTGTTCCCTCTCCTACAGCAGTATCAGCCACTGTAATGTTATCTGTCACTCACCACGACCTGCCCCTGCTCTATGGTGAAGTAGTTACACACATCTGTCAGGGCAGCGATGGCGCAGGCCCTGCGCACAGAAATAGACAAACATTAATAATGCAATATTTCAGAAACACAGTCTGATTTGGAAACTTTCATACATATTTGATTGGTTTATATTTAAAGGAGACGAGACACAGACGTCACATTGAGACCCTGTGAAGCAGAGGGTTCATACTTGCGTATCTTCATGGCCTCGGCGTTGTCGGGTCGAAAGAACTCGAAGCTGTTGTAGGCGCGTGTGGCGTCTCTTCTGTACTGCCCGACATTGAACGCTGTGGAACAAAGAACAAGAAGATGCTCTTTCTGTAAACATAGGCATCATGTATTTTTTCATATCGACAATGGCATGCAAAAGTTTGGGCACCCATCGTCAAAATTCCATTTACTGTGAATAGTTCAGTGAGTAGAAGATGAACTGATTTCAAAAAGGCATGAAGTTAAAGATGAAGCATTTCTTCAATAATTTAAGCAGTTTCAAAATGACAAAAAAAGGAAGCAAAAGTTTGGGCACCCTGCATGGTCAGTGCTC